CTTTAGAGACAGCATGAAAAGTCAGCTGAGTACAAAACATAGAGAGGAAAACAAGAAGAAAAGGGACAAGAAGAGAGGGACACAACCTAGAACAGATAATGGATGTCTATTCTATTAACATTTCTCTATCTGGAGAATGGGGCTGTTTCATGCGTTGTCTTCTCAATTCAAAGTGGCCCCTGCCTCTCTTTGCCTAGGGCCCTAAATTTCCTAAATCCGCCCATGCAGCCAGACCAACAATTCCCTTTAACGACCCCCCTCTCAGAGACATAGACAGGTATGGGGCATTGCAGGCTAACAAAAGAAGCTAAATGACCCCCATTCCTTCGTTTCTATTTGCATGTTTTCTAAACTAAAACAAGTCTTTGTTGGGCTGCTGGATAAAACCTGGAAATCAAAGCTATTTCTGTCATTTTAATTGAAAAAGCTTCCTAGATGGGAAGCAAAACATCTTCAAACTTGGAAGTCCAGTAGTTTATTGTTTTTTTTTTAAACTTTGGAATGACATAAATTGGATGTTTTGTATTTCTCCTTCAGCTCCTCTCTCCTCCATCATGAGCCTCCCCACCACCTCCATGGCAGGGCTGGAGGTCTACGCTGACAGCGCCTCTCTGCTGTCTCTGGACTCCAGCGTTTTCTTCAGTGAGACACCGGCTTCATGCATCAGGGATCCCCTCGAGGTCTTCGTCATCAACGTCGGAGGGAGTCGGTACGTTCTGTCCCAGGAGCTGCTGGCATCCCACCCAGAGACCCGGCTTGGGAAGCTGGCCTGCTGCAGCCGGGACTCGGTCCTGGACATTTGCGATGATGCTGACTTCCTCACAAACGAGTTCTTCTTTGACAGAAACTCCCAAACTTTCCAGTAGGTGCTTTTTTTCTGAATCAAACACACAAAAAGCGTCAAAGTTTGAATTTAGAAAGATTCATATCCACGCATCTTTCAACAAGACTAAGAATTAGAACTAGAGTCACCTGGTCATTAAATCAGATAAACCTGAGTTTCATCTGCATAACTGGGTTTAAAAAAATAGGAATCCAACATCGGATCCTTGTTGGACTCTTTCCTCTGCAGATCTGCAAGTTGTTCAACTGTTCTAACAAGCGTTACTAAATGCTTTATTAAAGGAATAGTACACCCAAAACATGATTAGCCTTCATTTTCTACTCACCCCCATGCTGAACAACACTCTGGAGTACTTTTTTG